CAGGCCCCGCTTCCACGCGGCCGCCCGCGGAGCGTCGGCGCGCAGCCCTCGGCGCGGAGCGGGTCTTCTCTTGGAGGGCCAGGTCCTGGCGGGTAGGTGACCACGGCCGCAGGGGCTCCGGCGCCCAGCATCAGCGACCCTCTGAAGTGAGGTGCGGTTCACATTAGGGAGCAGAAGGGCGGCTTAGGCCCCAAAGCTGGGGTGGGTGGAGCTGGGGAGAGGCTTGGGGTGGGGTCTTCGGGGAAGGAGGAGAAAGGGGAAGCTCGACGAGCTGCTTCCTACTCTTAATACGACCCAGCGCCCTACTTCCTCCTATTACTTCTATTTTCTTCGGCTGCTCTTAAACTTTCAAATACCCCTGCACCTCAGCTTTGCAAATGGGCTCCTTGAGCCCCCCACCACCACACCCTTCTTCAGAGACCCTCCTAGAAATGCCAGCCAATCCAGACTTTGCTCACTGCTCTTCCAGTCTCCGGTTTGACTTTTCCCACCTTTTCTCTCTCTAGGGCTGGCTGTCACTCAGCCATTTGCGAGCTCCCCGGGACAGGGGTTGAGAGGTCCTGTCTCCAGTCAAAACCCAGTTCTTGCGGAGCTATCTTAGCTCCCCCCCCCCTACTTCCCGCTCCCCCAAGAGGACTTGGCATATACTGAGTTGGAAGAACTTACCGACATCCCGGAAGCCACTGCACTGCTTTGTGCCTCAGTTAACTCATTTACAGAATGAGGTTGGTTACTATGCAGGCTGCCCTGGCAACGGAAAAGAGCGTTTTATTTTGGACTTAACAAAAGGCTTCTGAATTTTCCACCTCCACTATCAAATGATACTCAATTTCTGTTAAAGGTGTTCAAAATCAGCCACATGGTTGTTCGTTATTGTTGGTCAAAAGCCACAGCCCTACCTGAGACTTTCAGAGATGTGAACACCAGTAACTTTTCTTTACCTCACTCCCTAAATACCAAGAAAAACAACTTCTGCAAAGGCCCAGGAACAGAAAGTACCCTTGGGTGAACGCTGACTCCATCCAGCCTGTGTAGTAAGAGATGGAGAGGTGGGCAGAACCCACTTGTTATTTCTCCCACCCCTCAGCCACCACCTACCCACATACCACCATTCTACAAATAAGGAACCCGAACCAGGAAGGACTGAAAGAGGATATACTAAGTCATGCAACTTGGTAAAGGTAGTCAAGGATCTAGTTTCCCCAACCTTTGTTTTTTACACACACACACACACACACACACACACACACAACGCGAGGTAGGTGAAGCTGAAGACAAACCCAGGGGTGACCAGGGCAGAGAGGAAGGAGTAGAACCACCCTGAAATAAGAAATTCAGTAGCAAGAATGACACAGTGTATGCCATATTAGGAAAGCACTTTAAAAGGCAGAGAGACTTGCTCGAGAGTTTATAGCATCCTTGACTTCTGTGTCCCTTGGTAATACTAAAACTGAAGCTGGGGTCTGCTGAAGCAGTTTCCCATTAAAGCTGGTAGCCAGAAAGCTGGGCATCCCATGAAATCCACTTGGTTACATTCTGCATCCCCTCAGAGATGGGCAGTGTTTTCCACAGCAAGTGTGACCAACAGGTTGGATTTGTATAGTAGTCCCCTTTCAGCTCCACTTTGTCTCTCTCCCAGAAGGGCTGGCCACCAGAGAGATCTGATCAGCACCTGACACCTATCGGCCAGAGCTGAGAACTACAGCTACCGGGCACATCTTTCTACCTTCTACTCCTTCCAAAGCTGCTGGTAAGAATCAAAGGTGCCTCTGTCCCTCTTTTGGCACCTGGTTATGTACCATTTTGTGCAGCTACTTGGTAATACAAAAGAATAAATTACTTATACATATGGGTGAATTTCACAAATATGTTGAGTAAAAGAAGCAACTCAACAGAAAGTATTCTTCATAATTCGATTTATATATATGATGGTCAAGAACCAGAAATTAATCTATAGTGGCCTAGATGTCAGAATGGTGCCCATCTTGGGGGAGGGGAGCAATTTAACTTGAAAAGGGGTTGTGAAAAAACTTTCTAGGGTGAGAGGTATTTTTCTGTCTTGATTTGGGTAGTGTTTATATGGTATGTACATATGACAAAGTTGCTGAAATAGTTCTTAAAAGAAAGATGCATATTGAGCCCTCCCAAGTGGTGAAAGGGGTTAAAGCACAGCTCTCTGAAGCTTCCAAAGCCACTTGCAGCACCAGTTTGATCCCCAACCAGGGAGGTGACCCATGTGGTGCAGCAGATCGCTCCTGTCTCTCCCGCTGCTCCCCTTAGCAGTATATTTCAGTACATCTCTCTGCTCTGCATCCCACTTTGTCTATGGTGAAATCTCTCACTCCCCACACCTCTGGCTTTACCCCAGTTCTTGTATGTATAAATAAATAAATCTTTTTTAAAAAAGATGCATATCTGCTCTTTGTAAATTAAATCTCTGTACATAAAACATGTTGGAAAAGGAAGAACTTCCATGAGCTTCCTTCCACTGATCCCTCTGCTTGGAATGTCTCTGTATATTCATAAAAAATTGGCAGAACTGCCACAACTATTGTTATTGGATAAATATGAACTCCCTTCTGGAAAATGATGATCAGAAAAGAATCAATATATGAAAACACAAGAAGATTCATAATTTCAAAGAAAAGAGACATAAGAAAAAATAATTTTTTGGAACTAAATTTCCACAAATTCTTAAAAATAGTTTTTCATACAAGGTTTCAATAATATTTGAGAGGATATTGTATTTATAAAGGTTGTGGACTACGTTGTTTAAGAAATTACAAACTGAAATTACAAAAATGTAAGGAAGCATTTTTTTGGTTTGCTAAGTAAGTCAGTTAAGATAATGAACAGCAGATTGGGAACTGAAGAAAATTAAATGTATGAATTAAAAGTTTGTGAAGATGCCTTAGAATTCAAAGGAGAAAAGATAGAAGATTGAGGGAAGGGAAAATTATCTGTGACTTTTAACTTTAGACATCTATGTTTGTAATAGAAATTCCACTAGGAGCAAGGAGAAAATAAAATCTGGATAGAAGTATTGTCTGAACTGACATTCTGTGGCGGAGGAGAAGGGAACAAGATCAAAACTGGGGTGGGAAGAACACATGGGACTGTGGTGATGGCACATGGGTGAAGTGGTGGTGTGAAGTCCACAGTGGTCACGCTGGTTACAACTGAGATGAAGAAATGGACACAATATATAATAGAAAAAAAGAAATATATACACTTTTTAAAAAAGTAGTCTCTGAACTAAAGAAAGAATTTGCATCTTCTCTGTAAAACCCTAACTTTTCCAGTGAAATATAAATTACCAAAATTTGACCTAAAAAAAGATGGCATCTTGAGCAGTTGAAGGAAGAAAGAAACTGCTAGCTGGTGAGACATGAGTTGCCTGTCTGAACAAAGGAAATTGGATCACTTAATCACGTAGCTCCTGTTGAACAAAGTCATGGAGCCATCATCTAGTTACACAGCCCCTGATTACACAGGAAAATTGAATCTTGGGCCAAGATACTCAAAAGTTCTGTGTGAGCAGGTGTAAGCTTTACTCTGACATCCTACCTAAACGAATGGACTACCAGATTAACCAAAGGTGCCGTACTAGGATGACAAGCATCAAATACCTTCCCTGAGGGGAAGGCCTAGAGCTGCACAAGTCAGGATGAAGTGCAAGCCAGAACAAACTATGACACTGTGCCCTTCTGCCCTGGTGTGAACCTGTCTCTTTAAAACTTTCCCCCTTAGCTTTCCTCAGAGATCCAGATGAAAATTCTCCTTCTTGGCACTGGTTCCCCTCATACATGAGCTTCTAATAAAATGCCTTAACTGCTTTATCCGAAACCCCTGTGATTTTTTTCAAGAGGATCTCTAGGCCCACATGTTTTTGAGGCCTGTAACAATATAAATACACAGTAACCATGAGATTTTGTAAATTTGCAAAGAACCTAACTCTTGAGAGACTCAGTGTCCCAAGAGTCCTATAAATGACTTCTATCAAATTTCAAAGGACAAGTTGTACTTGCTTCTAAAAAGTAAGAATGGAATGTGGAATTAAAGCTAGCTGGTGGCAGGAGGAAGACACTGAGCTCACCTCCTCCTCATAATCACAACAAAATTACACCTAAGCAGTGACAGCAGCCCATGAAAAACTAAACAAAATAGCTTACTAACACTAAACCAGGCAGAAATAATCGATTGAATAAATAGATCACAAACATAAAAATGAAAACAGTAATAAAAAATCTCCCCCTCAAGCAAGGGGTTAAGTCATAGTACGATAAAGCTATCTGAAGCCACTGTAGCACCAAGATCAATCCCCAGCCAGGTTTCTGACCTGCAGGGTACAGCAGATCTCTCCTGTCTAATCCGCTGCTCCCCTCAGCAGTGTGTTTTCCTTGATCTGCCTATTGCTCCCCATTCCGTCTCTAGTAAATCCTCTTATCTGCCACACCTCTGGACTATACCCCAGTTCTTGTATACATAAATAAATAGATCTTTTAAAAAAAACTCCCCCCCCCCAAAAAAAAACAAGACCAGATTAGATGGCTTTACAAGTGAGTTCTGTCAAACGTTTAAAGAATTTAGGCCCAATTTTCTGAAATTACTTCTAAAAATTGAAGAAGAGGGAATGTTCCCTAATGGATTTTATGATGCCAAATTACCTTAATACTACAACCAAATAAAGATAGAACCTGAAAAGAAATTGCAGCAATATTCCTGATGAATATTGATGCAAAAATCTCCACAAAATACCAGCAAATTGCATTCAGCAACATATTACATGCATT